ACGCTGTAGTAATTGCCCTGCGACCTTTGAAGCCGGAACGGGACGTCTTTGTCGATTGAGCAGCTCACCTCGCCGTTCGCCCCCGAGTCCCGGTCGTGCACGTACACAAGGGCCACGACAGTTCCCGTGGGGGCGTCTTCCGAGATCTCGCTTAGTGCCGACCGCACGGAAATCTCGGGCGCATTGTCGTTGACGTCTGTCACTGTGATCACCACTTGCGCTATGTCGGATAGGTCCCCGCCGTCTCGAACCTGTACCTCAAGTTCGTAGTAAGTACCATCCTCAAAGTCTAAGTTACGCATCAATGTGATAGCTCCCGTTTCAGCGTCCAGATCGAATATCTTTAACGCTTTCACAGAAACCATTTGATATGAATATGTCACCTGCCCATTCGGCCCCTCGTCGGCGTCCGTGGCAGTTACAGCAACAAGTGTAGAGCCCACGGGCACGTCCTCGGGCACTCGCACCGTGTACTCCGCCTGGCTGAACACGGGCGCGTTGTCGTTCGCATCCACCACGGTCACGCGGATCCGAGCCGTGCCCGTCCGTGCCGGATCGCCGCCGTCCATCGCCCTCAGCACCAGCTCGTGAAACGCCGCCTCCTCCCGGTCCAGCGCCTTGGCCAGCACCAGCTCGGGACGCTGATCGCCGCCGGGGCCCGCCTGCACGGCCAGCGAGAAGTGCTCGTCGCCGCTCAGCTCGTAGCTCTGCAGGGAATTCCGGCCCGAATCAGGATCGTGAGCCCTGGCAAGGGGAAACCGCGACCCCGGCGCTGTCGTCTCGCTCATTCTCAGCTCTGTTTCTGCCTCTCTGAAGCTGGGGGAGTTGTCGTTAATGTCCGTGATTTCCACTTCGATCCCGTACAACTTCATTTCTCCCTGTACTACTAGCTCACAGCGCAGCACACATTGCTGCGCTTCCTCGCACAGCTGCTCTCTGTCGATCCTCTCCGCCGTCACTAAATGTCCCGTCTTGCCGTGCAGAGCGAAATACTGTGTCCTGCCTCTTTCTGTAATATGGACGCCGCGGTCGCTGATCTCCGGCAGGTGCAGCCCCAGGTCCTTGGCCACGTCACCCACGAACGAGCCCTTGGGCATCTCCTCGGGCACCGAGTAGCGCAGCTGCCCCCACGCCGCCTGCCACGCCGCCAGCAGGACGGCCCCGAGCAGAGCTCGCTGCCGCCGGCCCCAGCGCCTCCCCGCCGCGCACATCTCCGCAGCGGCTCCGCAACACCGCTCTTCCACTCACCGCTCCCCGGTGATGTCGCCGGCTTTTCTGCCTCCGTACAGAACCGCTCTGCACTTCGGAGAGGCTCGCACACCGGCCGCCGCCGAGCCAGACCCCGAGCGAGCGAGCGATCGAGCGGGTCCGCAGCGGGCGGGGCTGCAGCGCTCCGAGCTTCCTCTCGCTCCTCTCGGTCAACAGCGGCGCCCGCAGCCTCCGCCCGGCACTGCAGGCACCGAGCGCTGCCCGGCGCTGCGCTTCTGCCTCTCCCACGGACAGCTCGCGGGGCGGAACATTCGCCACGGAAATGTCGACCCTGCTTCGGCTTTTGTCCAGCCGATCCCCAACCCTTAAATTATTATCAAGGGGAGAATATAGAGTTTCCCTGTGGTTAGGCTTTTTTCTACCGTTCGGGAAAAGTCACTTAACTAACCTGGATATATCTTAAGTGAAAAAAATTGTCATCATACGACGCGCATAATATTGTGAATCTTATCTTACTACTCCAAAAGTACAGTCTCCATCACGAAATGTTTTAGCAATCAGTATTGAATACAGCAAAGAATCGGGCTCTGAAACGGGAAACATGATGTTCAGCCCGTCCCCCTGAGATCCACAGCTACCAGGCTAATTAACACATATTTGCCTTAAGCAATTAACCCGTATTGCTTTAAGTACTTCGTTTATATCCCACGCTTGTGGTTTCGGGGAATCCAAACAAACAAAACAAAACAAAACAAACAAACAAACAAAAAAAAAAAAAAACCAACCCAAAAAAACCACAAACAAACAAAAAAACCCCACAAAAACCACAAAAAACCCCAAAAAACCAAAACCCAAACGCCACCAAACAACCGCAGATTAAAAAGAATGCCTGGGATAATTTACCGGTCTCTCCGAGCTACAATTCTCGCAGAAACTTTAATCTAAAGCATGGCTACAATTTCCTCCTTCAGCAGGGAGGAAAGACCAATAACTTCCCCGTCCCGAAGAGAACAAGTTAATTTCATAAAGCAAAAAAATCCAGCACCAAGCGTCAATTCTATATTCCCGATTCTGTCATTCAAAATAATCGTATCTGATTATACAGAATAAGAATTAGTGTTCAATACTAAAACGAGAAGCTGTATGAAAAATACGAAAATTCATGTCTGGATGAAATCTAGCCATCCGTTAACGCTGTCATCTATGCAGCAGCTTTATGCAAAACATCAAAGGAGACAAGGTGGAACAGGAGAACATTGTCCAGGGAGGAGCAACCTGTGATACTCCTTTGGGAAACAGCAATGCCAACCATTTTGCTTTAGAAAAACAATGCCTGAAAGAAAACAGCCGAGTAGCTACTATTTGTGAATCAAAACATGGCACATCGTAGAGCTTTGATAAGGATTATCAAATAATTTAGTCATTAGTCAACATTTGCTCAACTGCAAAACAGGTCCAAGTAAACGACTTTAGGAAAAAAGGTATTCGAAGAAAAAATTTCAAACACCAAGCATCAATAGTAGTTTCGATAATGGAAGATCAATAGTTTACTGCGTTCATGACTCAAAACAAGACCTCTGGGCAATACCTCTCATGGACGACCACAAAAAACCTGCCACGGCTGGCTGATTGGTGGGAGTAGAAGGACGACACAGTACTTGAGTCCTTTCAGAACTAATAAATAATCCTAACAACACCAGGCAGAAAAAAACTAAGAGAAACGGGGACAATATCACAGAAAGGCACATGGAGAACAAGCGGAGTATTCAGGTTTACAGACCTGAGCTGCGTCCGGCTCGGCGGGCGGCCCTCCCGTCACGGCGCTACTACTCAGGCGCGGCTTCTCGCAGGAATCGCCGCCCAGCAGCTCCTCCGCCGACAGGACGGGCACCGGCGGCGGCGGCGGCCAAGCGGCCTCGGGCACGGCGCGGGCCGGCGCCGCCACGCACAGGTTGTAGGAGTAGGGCAAGGTGCCCTCGCAGAAGTCGGCCGGGAAGGCGGCGCCGGCCAGCGAGAAGCGCTGCGCGCCCAGGCAGCGCAGCACGGCGGGCGGCCCGGCCCGGCGCAGCCGCGCCAGCACGGCCAGCGCCACGCTCAGCACCAAGAGCGCCGACAGCAGCGCCAGCGCCAGCACCAGGTAGAACTGCAGCTCGGCCGCCGCCGCCGCCTCCTCCTCGGCGCCCGCCGGCCGCTCGCTCAGCTCCGGCAGCGCCTCCTGCAAGCTCTCGGCCAGCACCACGTGCAGCGTGGCCGTGGCCGACAGCGCCGGCTGCCCGTGGTCCTTCACCACGGCCACCACACGCTGCTTGGCCGCGTCCCGCTCGGACACGGCGCGCGCCGTGCGCACCTCGCCGCTGTGCAGCCCCACGCGGAACAGCGCCGGCTCCGACGCCTGCACCAGCTCGTACGACAGCCACGCGTTGCGCCCCGCGTCCGCGTCCACCGCCACCACCTTGGCCACCAGGTAGCCGGCCTCGGCCGAACGCGGCACCACCTCGAAAGGCGTCGCCGCCCCTCCCGCCGCCTCTCCCGCCGCCGCCGCCGCCGCCGGCCACAGCACCCTGGGCGCGTTGTCGTTGCGGTCCAGCACGAAGACGCGCACCGTGGCCGTGGAGCTGCGCGCCGGCGAGCCGCCGTCCTGCGCCCGCACGGCCACCGTGAACTCGCGGCACTGCTCGTAGTCCAGGGAGCGCTGCGCGTACAGCCCCCCCCCCCCCCCGCCCCGCCCCCCCCCCCCCCCGCCGCGCCCGCGCTGCCGCCCGCCAGCCAGTAGCTCACGCGCCCGTTGGCGCCCGCGTCCGCGTCCCGCGCCTGCACGCGCAGCACCAGCGCGCCCGCCGCGTTGTTCTCCGCCACGTACGCGCTGTACGCCGCCTCCTCGAACACCGGCGCGTTGTCGTTCACGTCCGACACCTCCAGCACCAGCTCCCTGCTGCTCCACAGCGCCGGCTTGCCCCGGTCCCGGGCCACCACCGTCACGCCATGCTCCGACGCCTGCTCCCGGTCCAGCGCGCCCGTCGTCACCACCTTGTACGAGCCGCCCGACGACGCCACGATCGACAGCGGCGCCTCTCCCGACAGCTCGCACCACACCTGACCGTTCTCGCCCGAATCAGGATCGTCCACGTTCAGCACAGCTACCACGGTGCCTGTCGGGGCATCCTCAGGCACCGGGCTAGACAGCGACAGAATGGTGATCTCGGGAGCATTGTCATTCTCGTCGGTGATGTCGATCTGAACTTCGCAGTGATCTGTGAGCCCGCCTCCGTCTGTCCCCTCTACGGTGAGGATGTATTTATTCTTCTCCTCGAAATCGAGGGGACCGGACGTCATTATCTCGCCGCTTTCGCTGTCGATAGCGAACAACGCCTTGACAGTATCCGGGACGCTGCTGAAGGAGTAGGAGACCCGCCCATTGGAGCCCGCATCTGCATCCGTGGCCACCACACGCAGCACCAGCGACCCCATCGGCAGATTCTCCGCCACTCGCGCCTCATAGACGCTTTTGCTGAACACGGGTGGGTTGTCATTTGCGTCTGTCACATTGATCCGAATCTGGACTGATCCGGATCTCGCGGGATCCCCACCATCCACTGCCATCAGCACCAGATCAAAGGAGCTCTGCTTCTCTCGGTCCAACGCCCTCTCGAGTACTAATTCCGGCTGCTTTTTTCCACCCGGCTTTTCCTTCATCGATAGTGAGAAAGAGGGGTTGCTGGTGAGTTCATAATTCAGCAATGAATTTGTTCCTAAATCAGTGTCTTGGGCCATCTCCAGCGGAAACCGAGCACCGGGAAGAGTCCATTCAGCAATCTCGAGGTCCAGAACATCTTTGCTGAACACCGGGGAATTGTCATTGACATCCTCGATCGCCACCTTGACGTGGAAAACGTTCAGCGGGTTGTGCACCAGCACCTCGAAGCTGAAGGAGCAGGTCGCCGAGGCGCCGCACATCTCCTCCCGGTCCAGCCTCTCATTCACGTACAGGTTCCCGTTCTCCTCATTCACCGTGAAGTATTTCAGCTGCTTCTTGCCGGCAGACGCCACCCGCAGCTTGCGCGCCGGCAGCTCGTCCGCGCTGAGCCCCAGGTCCCGCGCCAGCGGCCCCACGAGCGAGCCTCTGCCCAGCTCCTCGGGGATGGCGTAGCGGACCCGCTCGGCCGCCGCCCGGCCCCACACGCACAGCAGCACCGCGGCCAGCAGCGCTCGCCCGCCGCCCGGCCCAAGCCTCTGCCGCCGCCTCACCGCCATTCTCTGCCCGCAGCGCTCGCCGCGCTCCTGCCTCCTGCCGCTGCCCTGCCTCCCTTCCAGCCGCTCTCGCCGCCCACAACACACACCGCTCAAAGGCTGCGAGCTCGCCGCGCCGCCTCTCGCCGCCTCTCGCCGCCTCTCGCCGCCTCTCGCCGCCTCTCGCCGCTGCTGCTGGCGGCGGTGCCGCTGCCGCTGTGGCCGGCGCCGGGCGAGCGAGCAGCCTGCGGGGGCAGGACGCTGCGGCGGCGGCGGCGGCGGCTCCAGCGCCGCTCGGCGGCGGCCAACAGCGACACCCGGAGGCGCCGCCGCGCCACTGCAGCCGCCGGAGCGCCGCGCTCAGGGGGGCCCGGCTTTGGGCGGGGCTCAGCGGCGGCACCGGCCCCGGGGCTCTCCCGCCTGCCCGCACCGCCACCAGCTCCTGACT